AGAGAGAGAGAGAGAGAATCCGAAGCAGGCTCTGCGCTGTCAATGCAAAGCCTCATGTGGGGCTTGAACTCAACGAACTGCAAGATATGACCTGAGCCAAAATCAGATGCTCAACCCACTGAGCCATCCAGGCAAGAGGTTAATTTGCCATCCATTGCTCAACTAGTTCAGACACTGGCACCAACCCTACTAGCTGTGGTATAGATATCTAATGCGATTCAGGCAGCAAACATTCAATTTGGGCAAAACTAAGTCAAAAGGTGACACTTAATACCAAGAACAGAAGAGGAGAAGCACCACCCCTTAACCTATTCCCATTCAGTTTTCCAACAAGTATTTCCCTGTGCCCAGGTGTCAAAGTCTTTGCTAAGTGCTGGGGAGGCCAGCATGAATAAACCCATAGCCCTTCATCACACTGTAGAGGGGGAGACAGAAATGGAAACAAAACCCAAACTGCCCTGCAAGGTGATAAGAGCTATACAGACTGAAGCACACAGTACCAAGACCACCTGTTCAGAAGGTTCATGCCTATCAGGTCATTTTCAAGTACCTGGCTGTCCTGTCCTCTCAGATTGCTCTAGTCCAAAGCCTGGCTGAGACACTGGATATTTGAGAAAGTCGGCCTAAGGAACATGTTAACCATTCATTCCTCTAGGTTTTCTGAGCTCTATTTTTGCACCGGAATCTCCATGGCTGAACCACAGTAGCTCAGGCTCCGAAAGATAAACTCCCACTGGGCTACTTTTCATCATTTTGTCTTCGGCATTTTTTATTCTCATAAAAGGCACGACCATACAAAGAACTTTACTTCGCATTCTGTAGAATTGAAGTTCAAGCACTGGCCATTATATGATTTGCTATTTCATGGAAGTATATACTAGGTGCCAGGCACCATAGTAAGCCCTCTAGAAATGTTATATGATGTATCTGTACAGCTTCAATGCATATCTGCCACCTCCAGGCCCCCTTTTTCCTGTTAACTTGGCTACCGAGAAGCTTAGAGCTAAATTCAACATTTATTTATTTTTGGGACAGAGAGAGACAGAGTATGAATGGGGGAGGGGCAGAGAGAGAGGGAGACACAGAATTGGAAACAGGCTCCAGGCTCTGAGCCATCAGCCCAGAGCCCGACGCGGGGCTCGAACTCATGGACCGCGAGATCGTGACCTGGCTGAAGTCGGACGCTTAACCGACTGCGCCACACAGGCGCCCCGAGCTAAATTAAATAAAGCAGTAAGCACTTAGGATTTCAGTTTAATGATCTTTACTCCTGTAGAAAATTTTGATCTTTCTTCCCCTACCATTTTCACAAGTCTTATCGCTTTGTGGGATTTTTGCTATGCATTTATGCAGACACATTTCTGAAAGCCCATACTCTGTAAACAAAAACACATTACCATAATTACCCATTGTCGTTTCCTTTTTGTCTCAGTTGTCAAAAGCGTTTCCATGAATAGCTAATTCGGAGATGACCCTTTGGGTATCACACCTGGGTCACTTGAAAACTCAGATAACGCAATACCTCGCACAATCATCTGGTTCAGAATCTGTTTATGAAAGTGTGAAAGGAGGTAAAGGGGGAAAGTTAAATGACTTCACTTACAACACAGCGTAACCAAATGTCCAAATTTGGACATTTGGTTATTTCCAAATCTACCCCCAAGGGCGATTTCCATCTTGTCTTGTATCCTGACAGTCCCATTTCGCCCCTTCCCCAGGAACTGCTACTTGTGTAGACCAGCTTACACCACAACACGCCCTTGGTCCCCTTAGGGCTGCCAAGGCCAGAGGCACTGCCAGAGCCTGCTGAGTGAGAAGGCACCGCTATCATCCAGTGATGTCGGTTCCCTGGAATTTCACTCTTAGCGCTGACAATGCCTCTGGAACTCATAAAGATTCTGCTGATACCCAGAGAGTTGAAGGTCAGTGTCTTCAGGGAATCTGGGTAACCTGTTAAGGCAAACTGCTGAGGACTTGCATGTACTCAAGGCAAATGCCCCCAGGAAGAATTTGCAGAAATAATCCTCTGCAATGTCACTATATAGAATAGAATGGGGCTAGCTTTCATCTCAAAAAAAAAAAAAAAAAAAAAAAAAGGTGGGGGGAAAGACAGAGATAAAGATGGAACCATATATTCATGGCAAACACATATACGCAGGCACAAGTCTTGACATACCCAGTTGGTACCCACTCAGGTTGCTTAGTCACATATTTTTAGGAAGACAGTGTTTGGGTGCAACCATTGCTTTATTTAGCCAAGATCTATCCAGCTCCTACGGTGTGCCAAGCACTGTTTAAGACGCTGGAGAATCAAGAGTTAATGAGGCAGTCAAGACTCTTTTCTTCTGGATTCTACATTCTAGACGGGTATTCAACAAGTACCAAATGAAATGACAATTCAGATTGCAAAGAAGACCAAGCGATGGGGGGGTTGGGGAAGAAACTAAAAACAGTAGGATGGTTCTGAGAAAGAATGAGTCAAGTGGTCACAGAAGGGCTTTTTAAGAAGTTGACACATAATCTTACACTAGAATGACAAAGAGGAGTTCAAGAAACCAATCACCTCACTCGGATTTCTACCAAAAGGATAAGCTTGCTAAAACAAACACACAAACACACAAACACCAAACTTGCAATCCCACGGGTGGCTCCACACATGCCATGCTTCAAACAACTTCAAAAATTCCAGGAAAGGATAGGAATCCACAACTCTCTCTTCTCTTCAGGAAATTTTAAGAAATTACCTTTTCCCAAAAGATGTTAGATTAAAAGGCAGTTGTCTTAATTCATCACTATGACAGAATAAAGAAGCTAAAAGGAGAGAGATGGAATGCTTATTCCTCTTATAAAGCCAGTTAGTCTATAAAACAACATTCCAATGTCAATAAAATTATGCCTTTGCATTATAATGCCAACAGGAATTGCTTCATTAAAAAAATAGTTCAATAGCTATATTTAGTAGCACATACTCTCACTAAAAAAGAAAAGCAAATCATATCTACTACCAGATGGTCCCACTTCCAATATATATATAACTTTGAAATTCATTAAAAATAAGATTTTGACAGTATCCATTTAACGTGTACAAATAATAAATGATTGTTCACCCATGTCTTCCCATATATTACCTTCAAAAAATCACTTACTATTGAATTTCTGTTAGACTCAATTAAAACCCTTAGCCAACTGGCATGAAAACTAAAAATATCCACTTCTCAGAATACTTTTCATCAAAACACCTTTTTCTTTAATGTTTCCTAGTCTCTGACTAGTTTCAGAATAAGAAAGGTAAGCAGAAGTGAATTAGGAAGCAGATCAGTCACGAGTGAATATTCAGAATGAATCATGGAATATTTGAACTAAAATGCAATTTTTATTACTTTGTAATCTAGCACATGCTATATATTATTACAATGTAAATAAGCAGCATAAACTAGAACAAGGCCAAATAATGTAAAGATATTGCTCAACAGGTCTACGGGATCCAATGCTTTTACCATTATAAAAATTGCTGGGCTCTGACATGGATACACCATCCAAGGAATGCTTAGTTTTTGAACTTCAAAACTGGTCTTTAAAACTGCATCTCACTAGCACCTAAGACCAGTAACAGGCTACAAGGAAGACTTTGTTTCAAATTTATTTACTGATGATTAGGCACAGTGTTTCAATCTTCACAAAATCTGAACGTGTGTGGAGACGGGAGGGTGGAGAGTGTTCAACTTGTTTGTTCAGGTTCACTCTTTTTCTTTGCTTCGGCTTAGGAATTGTTATGCTTCTAGACTCTTTTGTAAAATTTCCCATTTGGGGACAAGTACACACTTAACCTTTAATAAATTAAAAAAAACAACAACGACAACAACATCCTATGTGCCCTCCCCTCCAACAAATCAGAAGGCTTAAGAATTAGCACTAATAATCCTACAATGGTCATTGGGAAATCCTCCTCCAAAATGACAACTGCAGCTAAGAAGGACGCGATCTACTAGGGTTAAAAAAAAAAAAAAAACCAACAAAAAACAAAAAACAACTCCCCCAAATGAGTCCTCCTCGGAAGGGGGCTGGAGGCCCGGGGGAGGAGAGCGCAGCTGGCACAACTCCTGGTTACCAGAACCAACTCGAGGCGACCCAGAGGAAGATGCTGCGTCAAAAGAAGAGCGAGGCAAAGAAGCGCGCGACCCAGCAGGGAGGCGAAATCGCCACCGAGTCCCCGAGGAGGCGAGGAGAAGCCAAGCCGCCAGGCACCGGCCACGGCGCACGCCAACATTCAAGATTATTCTCCCTTCCAAACCCCGGAGTTCCGGAGCAGGAGAAAAAGGGGGATGGGGGGCACCCACAGTCCCTTTAAACCGCCTCCCCGCCCCCCCCCCCCGGTGTCTGCCAACCTTTTCCGAACCCCCGTGTCACAGAACTTCCTCATCATGGAAACTTCCACTCGGTTCGGCGCTAAGGATGCCAAACTCCATTTCACAAGGAGCCTGTCAACAGCTGGGCTTGGGGGTTTGAGGAACAGAGCGGCTGCGATTGGAGGGGGCCCCCAGACACCCTGCTCCGCCACTGCCCACGCTGGGGCTCCCCGACTGCCGCCGCGCGGTGCCGGAGCACGAGGGGCACCTCCTCCCGGACCAGGGGTGCAGAAGCCCCGCGGAGGCAGGTAACACGGCGGCTGACACCCTCCACCCACGCCCGCCCGCGCGCCCGGCTTCGCCGCCCGCACCCCTCAGGTTCCCGCGACACCCCCGCCGCCAGCCGGCCCACCCTTCTGGACGGTCGGAACTGCCGCCCCCTCCCCCCCCCTCCCCCCCACGCCCCCGCCTCCGCGCGGTCCTCTCGCCAAATTACCAGTGCCCTCCAGATGGTTGGGTTGAGCGCCCCTGCCCGGGGAAGGCAGCCTGCGGGCGCTTGCCCCGAGCCCGGGGAACAGAAGGTCTCCTTTCCAAGCGCACTCACATTATTCATGCAAAGTTAATCCCCGCCGCGTCACGGCCGCCCGCCCGAGGATGTGCGCCTTCCTTGGCCAAGCCCCGCAGTCTCCACCCTCCTCCGCCCCCTCCTCCCGGCGGCGGGGTCCCGGGGAGCGCCGGCGACGGGACGTCGCGCGAGTCCTGCAAAATGTCAACTCCTTGGGCGAAGAGAGGCGGCCGCCGCCAGGGCCGCGCCGGCCCTCCCCGGCCACTCCACTTTTATAGGCGTAGGAAGCGAGTGTGGTCCGGGCACCGGAGTCCCCGCCTCTCCGGGCCCCCCTCGCACCCGGCCCGCCCCGGCCCGCTCCCGGGGCACTGCCTTACTCCGGGCCCGGGGCGCCCGCGCCGCGCCGCGTCCGCGAACCGGTGACCTGGTTTCCCCTCCAACCCTCGCGGCGGTCCTACTCGCGCGGCGGCGGCGGCCAAGAGCAAGCAAACCCGGCTCCGCCAGGGGCGCAGCGAGGAAATGGCCTCCCAGACGCTCGCGCCGCCGCCGCCGCCGCCGCCGCCGCCGCCGCCGCCCAGGGGCCGCCAGGATGGCACCCGACGCCCCCCGCCAGGCTCCGGGGAGGGGGGGGGGCGCTCAGAAGTGTCCGCCGCTGGGCGCTCGCGGACCCCTACCTCGCGGACCCCTACCCCGCAGCCCACGCGCGCACCGCCCCAGGCCGGCCGCCTCCGCACCTGCCTCCCCAGGTTCGGGCGCTCCCTCTCCTCCCAGTCCCGGCCGTGCCCTCCTCCCAGGGTGCCCTTCCCAGGGTGGCGATGTTGCGGCGGTTTAGGCGGCCGCGCGTCCACCCACCCGGCGGCTTGCGCACCGAGGTTCGGGTTTGGACGTCATTCCTCTGGTAGGCGAAGAGGAAGAAACGGGGGACGAGTGACAAGGAGGCGGGGGGACCTTCCAGAAGCACGGGCTTTTCTCTGCCCCGAAGGACCAGTGTGACCCCTGCCAGCGCGCTCCTCTCCCTTTTTTCCAAACCACTTGTGGCGCGTGTCCGGCGGACAGAGCGCTCTGGCTCCTCCTGGGGCCTCCCACGGGCCGGGCTGTCTGGAGTTCCCTTCACATCACCCGGCCCCCGCCGCCCGGGGCCCGCCCCCCCCCCCCCATAATTTGGAAAATACCTGGCCTGCTTTTGAGGGAGACACCCCTCCGCATAATTATGCATATCCTGGGAGATGTGTGCAGAGTCCAGACACTCCACAGGTTCCAGAAGGGCTGCCCTATTAATTTGCCTTGGCCCTGGGTATGTACAAATAAAACCCGGAAGACAACAATAATGTATACTCTTGCAGCGTTCTGCCCCAGGCAAGTAAGAATTTCTGAACTGCCCCCCATCCTCCACCTCAAGTGTTGAAAGCCCAGGGTTCAGGTTAGGAGAAAATGAAGCGGGCAGCTGCATTCTGGGCTTGAAGAATGCTTGTAAAAATACGGAGTGCCCAAAATGCTAAAATGCAGTCGGTACGAAGGTATACTTGCAGCAAAACTATTCTGACGACAGGGTACAATTATTTTCTTACATTAAAAACAATCCCTACTTCATTATTCAATATATACGTTTATTCGTACAACAATGGGATAGAGCTATGACGGTCTGTATCCTCAACTGTCTGAACAACGTATAGATGATTTATTGCAGAGCTTTCCAGATTTCCAGCCGGTGACGTGTGATTTTATTCCAGCTTCTTGCGAGCATCCCACGGAAGAGGGCGAGGAGCCACCACTCTGGCTAGCAGCCTTAACAGCCACAACTGTCCAGAAATTCGGGAACTGTTGCCTGCGCCTGGACGCACGGTGTTTCAGGTGCTTCCAGAGAGAAAGTCGCAGACCCCAAGGCTCCCTGGCGAGAGGGAGGGGCCTCCCCGTCAGAATCCACGGACCTTAAATCCCCTCGGTTCTTGGCGATAAATCCTTGCTGTAGTTTATTTTTCACTCGTGATAAGGCTATATACCATAGGCTTTGCAGGTTTTGTAGCTGGATAGAAGTTGTTCTCCCTTGCAGGGAAGTTCCTGGGCTCTGCTCCAATGCTGCCCCGGGATGTTTTGGTTGCTTTGGAGGAAAGCTGTGGAGTCTGCACCGTTTGTTCCAAATAGGCGGCCCCCTGGTGGCTAACTGTGGGTGAAAAATCAGGCCACTGAGGAAAAAGCTTGGCTTTGACAGGCCACTACAGTTGACAGCCGGGTCTGCGCAGGGGCTATTGAGACATGCGAACGACTTTGTAATGGGGGGGTGGGGAAGGGTGGAGTGGGCGGGGCATGATGCGAGTCTTCCTTCACAAAGGTGAATAATAGGCCCCGAAGCCTAATGGGACTTTGAATTTTTTTTTTCCTCTTCCTGAGTGTAACTTGGAGCTAGATTCCATCTTAAGAAGGAAAACATCACACGGAGAATGAAGTATAACAAACACTGTTGCTCCCCTTTGTTCAAATGGCTTTGCTTTTCTGATCTCATTTTGCCTGGAAACTTTTGAAATAAAAAGTAAATTACAACATTAAATAAATAACATGGCATTATTCAAACAACTCCTGAGACTATGATTGTAACAATGTTATATGACAATGGGAGAAGGCAATTTTAATGCAACGTTATTGAAACAACATGAATTATGAAGGATTCCATGAATTGGCCCTCTGAGGGCCGACTCCATGATGGCAAACAAGGATTGCTCTTATGTTTCACAAAGGGACCAATAGAGCAATAGTTTTATGGGGACCTGACTGAAGTCAAAAATAATATTCAAACTTTAGACTATATGGCCCCTGTTCCAGTCTAGCTGATTTGAGGGGGCACATCAAACCTGTTTTCACAACCCATGCTCACATGCCACTGATAGACATCCTCATTACCAGGATCGACAAATTTCAAGTTGCTGCCTTGGTTCAAGGGAGCCATTCATTCATATATTCATTCATTCATTCATTCATTCATTCATTCATTCATCCACCGCTGGGGTAAGAAGATAAATGAAGTGTAAAGTCAACAGAACTGGGATTACACTGAAGCCACGGAGGCCAGTGGTGCAAATACAGGGTCTGAGCCTGTCTTTACTTAAAGTATTGATGTATTGCTCATCATGGATGATTGTTACATTAATTTTTATCTTAAAAATATTACATTAAAACATAGTTTCTCTTTATTACAGTTTTTGATGCCCCTTAAATTTTGCACTCAAGGAAAGTGCCTCACATGCCTCACCCAAGCCCTCATCCTTCTGTGCCTTCAATAATACCAAAGTCTAATCAGAAAAGTAAAATTCAAATAGACTTGCTCAGGGTCAAAGATAATTAATATATGGTAAGGAACTTTAGGTCAGGGAGTTAGACATGGCAGGGAGTTGTGAGAGAAGGGAAAAAAATCAAGGGAGATGCCACTGGATGAAGTTGAACCAGTCCATCAAGGATGGACTAGATTTTACTACTCTGGGAGTATTAGAACCTGGGAAATGCTATTCCAGGGACTAGGACCACTAATATTCTTTCTTTCATTCAAAAACTCCTTCTCAAGATGGTTGTACAGCCAAATGACCCAGCCCTGGAGATTCTCATTCTGTTTATTGTTAGTTCCTGGAATTTATTTTGCCTATGAGGCCGCATTGATTCTGGTCCATGGCTAGACAGGTAAGAATGCCAAACCTGTCCCTGCCCTTCAGGAAAGACAGACTATTAGGGGAGATGACATGTTCAAAATTAACTGTACTTTAAGAGTGCAATGAGAAATATATAAATGTAACTTTCTAGGTGATTGCTGGTGAGGAGGCTGTGGTAGCCCAGGAATTGGTGATGGTGGTGACGGTGGTGAGATAGCACTTCCCGCGGAAGATGACCAGGTGGAGCTTGTGGGAGAAGTCATAGAGAGGGAAAGACACAGCTGCTACAATATTTGCAAGGCTTAGTACAAAATGAAAATGTGGGGCCCTTTATTCAAAAAGCAGGGAAAAAAAGCACCATTACAGGTAGAAAATATAAAGCTATCTCCTTTCTTCCACATTCTCTTCTTGGAATTGTCATGGTATTTTTTATTTGCTATTTAACATCATTCTAAGTAAAGAAAATAAGCCTTTTAAATTATTAGCACAAATTTCACTGTTCATCTTTATATTATGCCATGGTAGTTTTAAATGCAAATGTAAGAGCATTTAACTCATATGTGAAATCAACCGAATTACACAATTTGTATTTTGTAGCTAGTTCATGTATTTTGTAGTTTGTATATGCATATGTGTTTTGTTCTTATCAGAACAGTGGAAACACAGCACAAACTAGCTCAACTGTTTTTATTTTGCTTCTTGATATGTGCCCATTCTGCCAACATTCTATCTTAGACTTACATACCGTTGAGTAAGGAAGACCTCAAAGGAAAAGGAACTATGGGTTGCCCTTTCCTTCCGTGTCATCATTTTCAGAGTAAATGGTTAGATAATACAGTGATGTAAAATGAGTAAGAAAGGACATGATAAAGTTTCTTGGTTGTTACTTTCTTTCTACATTCAAAGCAAGAATGGAATGGAATAGAATGGAGTGAGATGGAGTGGAATGGAATGCATGGCCTCTTGGGGTTGTCAGTGCTCCCACTTAGTCATAGATGTAACATGCTTATCTTATACTCCATTTGAGTTTTGCTGACCTCTCACACATTGCGGGGCTGTTGGACTTCTGTGCTCATGGGGCATCAAGTATGTTATATATAAGTGTTGGTTCACAAGATCCATGTGAATCTGAATCTGAATCCCAAGTGTAATCTGAAACTGGTCCCCAGGGAGAGACCAAAGAAAGAGTCAGGCCATTCCAGGTTGGTAGGTGGTAGATTAATGAGCAAGGGAACTCACATGTAAGACTGGTCTTGGGCAGCTGCAAGATAAGTAGTCTCCACACCCACCTGCCAAATCTTAAATGTTTATATAGAGGCCTTGATGCTATTCAGTCACCTATACCGTCCAGAAGGTCTCAACACCAACCCCTCTCTCAAGGGTGTGTCCTTGGGGTAGCTTCTGGGAACAGGGAAGGCAAGTGGAACCCATATTCCAAGGATAAGGGAGAGGGTGAGGAGACTCTAATTGCCTGGGTCCAGCTCATAGATCAACAGGTGGTCACATCCTGTCAGTGACCTCCCCCAACAGTAAGTGGAGCAACAAAGAACATCAATGGACATATATATTGTGTGGTTCTCCTCTGTTCATGGACATGAACTATTGTCCCATCAAATGTCACTTACAAAACACAAGTTCAAGGATAAAATCAGCAAGAATTTCAAGATGGTGAAAGAGCATTAAACTAAGTGCCAGGCTGAAAGCAGGGGGCCCTTCTGAGCGTGGAACCCTGTACAACTGCACAGATTGCATGCCCATGAAGCTGGTCTGGTGAAAATCCACTATTATTCTTTGTCATGGTAGAAGCCTTGGGCATATTGGAGATGCAATAGATGTTCTGGTATGGCTGCTTATGGCAAGAAGTATGTACTATAGCTAATATTTATTACACATGTATTATTTCTAGGCATTGTCCTAAATACTGCACAATTTTAAGAAATCCTGTAAGAACTCTATGACCAGATGGGGAAGCTAAAACATAGGAAGATCAAATAATTTGCTCAAGCTCAGGCCCAGGCATTGATGGCACAGGCTGTGCTCTTAACTAGCCCATCAGGCTACCATTATGTAGGAGAGGGAGTCATGGGGTAGTCACAAGGAGATGGAAAATATGAGCATGTCTGGGAGTCATGGGACACGTCCCTAACTCCTTAAGAAACTGCTATTCACTGGGAGGACCAGAAAAGGCCTGAGTAAAACAAGTATGTCACTAGCTTGAAACTTTAAAAATTACCTAACTACGTTCTCTTTGTTTCCCAGCTGGAGGTAGAAGATGCTGAGGCCTCTGGGCAGGGACTAGTAAGCCACAAGCTAGAAGGAGTCTGAGTCCCTTGATCACCATATGGAAAGGAATGAGAACACTCATTTTCAAATGTTACCGTGATTGAGCAACCAACTTCTGGCATGTTAAGTCATTGAAATGTGCAAGTTTATTTGTTGTGGTAGTTACTGTTATCCCAGTATACCCGTCAGCCAAACCAAACTCCACCAAAGGATATTTTTTTTTCTTTAAATAGATACAGTTAAATAATAAAATAGGCCTAGGTACATCAACATGGATATATGTTATGGATATAGCTCCATAACAAAAGGCTATGTTAAAAAAAAGTTGAGAGCAATAATTTTTAAATTCAAGTGTAATTTATTTACAGTAAAATAGGCAAATCCTAAGCATTTAATTTGATTAATTTTTACATTTTTATACCTATGTGTAATGACCACCCAGAACAAGCTAGACATTTCCAGCAACCTAGAAAGTTTATCTGTACCTCTTCTTTGTTGATAACCACTCCCTTTCTAGAGGTAAATGATATTTTTACTTCTGTCATCATTTATTAGCTTTACCAGCTCTTGAACTTCATATAAATAGAATCACACAGTGTGTTCTCCTTTCTATCTGGTTTCTTTTACTCACTGCTATGTTTTTGAGATAAAGTCACATTATTGTGTGGATTAGAAAGTTGTTCTATTTTTAATTTCTATTTGATATTTAATCATACAAATACACTACAATGTGTCTATTCCTTCTCCAACTAACAGATATTTGGGTTATTTCCAGTTTGGGGCTATTACAAAAAAACAGCTTTGAAAATTCTTAATTCTTTTTGTGGATTCATGCATTCATATCTCCTGGGCATATACTAAGGAGTGGAAGTACTGTTCATATATTATTTCTTAATCATTCTACTAAAGCTCTCTGAGGTACTAGCATAATTATGAGAAAGTAGAAGTTGAGCAATTAGCATTTCTGTTCATTCTTACAATTACCCCAAATAAAATATTCAACAACATTATGTGGAGTCTAACTTGAATGAATAAATATTACCCAACATCGTAAGTATGGAAATCTTCAAATAATCCATGTTCAGATCTATGATTGCCTTATGCAGCAATTACGAGCTTTCCTAGCAACCACAAATTATTTCCTATGAACTAAGCCACAAATGAAAAGCCTATGCAAAAATGAAGGTGCTGATGAATTACAGTGCGTCCGGAAAAAGATGAATGGAGAAAAGGAATTTAGGAATACAAAAACACTTATAAATTCAATCTTAATTTTCAGCTCTCTGAAAGGTAGGTTTGAGGTGAGGTGAATAATAGCTAATTGGACTGTAATAACCCACGTTATTGTGAGCACGCAAAGTATAGCACGTTGCCAAACTCTTTGTCAATCACGGAAGAAATCTAGTGATTCGTGACACACCTCCCCAAAACATATCGATTAAGTGTACTTCCTTTTTTTTTGAGTTATGTTTATATGCATCAAAAGTGGAAATTTAATTTTTAAAAATTCTGTGAAAATATCCTTGCTGTTTAGAAAGGGAATAAAGGTGGATCTCGCTCATTTTCATGGAAAGAATTCTAATTTGTCTAGATACAATAACACATAATATGATGCTGATGATTATGGGCTATTTTCAGATCCTTAAAAACCCC